GCTCGTTGGACTGACTGAAGCTTCCGGGCAGTCTTCAGAGGCAACCGCACGTAGAGAGCATTGCAGTAGTCTAAACGGGATGTAACCAGATGATTGTCTAAGACAGGGGTCCTCAAACTTTTTAAACAGAGGGCCAGGTCACAGTCCCTCAAACTGTTGGAGGGCCGGATTATAATTTGAAAAAAACATGAATGAATTCCTATGCACACTGCACATATCTTATTTGTAGTGCAAAAAACACTTAAAAACAATACAATAATTAAAATGAAGAACAATTTTAACAAATATAAACTTATTAGTATTTCAATGGGAAGTGTGGGCCTGCTTTTGGCTGATGAGATTGTTGTTGTGTGCTTTCAAGTCGTTTCAGACTTAGGTTGACCCTGAGCGAGGGCCGGGTAAATGACCTTGGAGAGCCGTATCTGGCCCATGGTCCTTAGTTTGAGTACCCCTGTCCTAGATGGTTTATAAGGGGAGATTTATTCGGACATGTAAGTTGGGCCAGAACCGTTTAGGACTTTGTAGTCTAAAGCCAGCACTTTGAATGTGCATGGTAGCATATTGGCTGCCAGTGGAGCTGGCGCAGCAGAGGAGTTGTTTGTTGTTCATTCGTTCAGTCGTCTCCAACTCTTCGTGACCTCATGGGCCAGCCCACGCCAGAGCTCCCTGTCGGCCGTCACCACCCCCAGCTCCTTCAAGGTCAGTCCAGTCACTTCAAGGATGCCATCCATCCATCTTGCCCTTGGTCGGCCCCTTCCTTTTACCTTCCACTTTCCCCAGCATAATTGTCTTCTCTAGGCTTTGCTGTCTCCTCATGATGTGGCCAAAGTACTTCAACTTTGTCTCTAGTATCCTTCCTTCCAGTGAGCAGTCAGGCTTTATTTCCTGGAGGATGGACTGGTTAGAAATTCTCGCGGTCCAAGCACTCTCAGAATTTTCCTCCACAGTTCAAAAGCATCTATCTTCCTTCGCTCAGCTTCCTTATGGTCCACCTCTCACATCCATAGGTTACTACGGGGAATACCATTGCTTTAACTATGCGGATCTTCGTTGCCAATGTGATGTCTCTACTCTTCACTATTTTATCGAGATTGGTCATTGCTCTCCTCCCAAGAAGTAGACGTCTTCTATTTCCTGGCTGCAGTCTGCATTTGCAGTAATCTTTGCACCTAGAAATACAAAGTCTGTCACTGCCGCCACGTTTTCTCCCTCTATTTGCCTATATATATATATATATACACACACACATACATACATATACAGGGTTCAGCAGCATAACTTCCTTTTTTAAAATATGCACCATTCAGTTGGTTGAAGATGTATCGGAGCGCTAGTGGTCTCTTTCTAGAGGCGGGAGTATAAAGTTTTGTCCTGACACAGTTCAGTCGCCATCGTGCGTTGGAACAGTGAGGAGTGTGCTTTTGCCGTTGAGGCCTAGTTTTCGAGCGGATTTGGAGTGGCCGGCCTGCTCTCCAGATTTGGCCCCTTGTGATTGTTTTCTATGGGTTTTTTTTTTAAATCCCATGTTTATGTGAACCATCCAAGGACCCTACAAGATTTGAAGACCAACATCCAGGAAGAAATTGCCAACATAACGCCTGCTATGCTGGCAAGAGTCATGACAAATGCCAGAAATCGGTTTACTCAGTGAATGGAGAATGGAGGACGTCACCTACCTAATTTGATTTTCAAAACTAAGTAAAACAAAACTTTAGGTGTGTGCCTACATTATATAAAAAATAAAAATTTCCGATTCATACAATGGGTTTTCTTAAGTTTTGAAAAAAAGTTATGCTGCCTCACCTTGTACATTACGATTCATAAGAGTAGCAAAATTACAGGGTGAGCCAGCATAACTTTTTTTCCAAAACTTAATAAAACCCATTGTATGAATTGGAATTTTTTATATATAATGTAACAACGAAAATCATTTGATGGTTGGGGGTCACTGCAACTTTTTTTTTTGTGGTGTCAGGAGCGACTTGAGAAACTGCAAGTGCTTCTGGTGTGAGAGAATTGGCCGTCTGCAAGGACGTTGCCCAGGGGATGCCTGGATGATTTTTGATGTTTTATCATCCTTGTGGATGTCCCCGCATGAGGAGCTGGAGCTGATAGAGGGAGCTCATCCGCCTCTCACCGGATTCAAACCTACAACCTGTCGGTCTTCAGTCCTGCCGGCACAGTGCTTTAACCCACTGCGCCACCGAGGGCTCCATGAGAGCAGACTTGGCCACGGTAGTCCACACTCTGGTTACATCCCGTTTAGACTACTGCAACGCTCTCTACGTGGGGTTGCCTTTGAAGACGGCCCGGAAGCTCCAGCTGGTCCAACGCGCGGCAGCCATGATACTAACAGGAGCGGGAAGCAGGGAGCATACAACCCCCTTGTTGTACCAGCTCCACTGGCTGCCAATTTGCTACCGGGCTCAATTCAAGGTGCTGGCATTGGCCTATAAAGCCCTAAACGGTTCCGGCCCAAGATACCTAACTGACCGCCTCTCGGCCTATGAGCCCACGAGGACTTTGAGATCTTCCGGGGAGGCCCTGCTCTCGATCCCGCCTGCGTCACAGGCACGGCTGGCGGGGACGAGAGATAGGGCCTTCTCGGTGGTGGCTCCTCGGCTGTGGAACACCCTTCCCGTGGACATCAGGCTAGCTCCCTCCCTGTTGATATTCCGCAGGAAGTTAAAGACCTGGCTGTTTAAGAAGGCATTTGAACAAGAAGTGCAATGACTGGTAATTTGACCATAGGAATGGAACAACGGAAATGATATCGGATTGTGGGTTTGACGATGAGACGATTCGGAATGTAGTAGTAATTTTGTAGTAATGTTGATGTTTTGATAAGTTGTTTTTCCGATAATGATGAATTGTGGATTATTTTACACTATGTTTTGTAATTTGCACTTGTTTTTTCATGTTGTACACCGCAATGAGTCGCCCTTGGGCTGAGAATTGCGGTATATAAGCGCAGTAAATAATAAATAAATAAATAAATAAATTAGGAAGGTGGAGAAACACTGCTATATATGATAGAGAGAATTTGTCATTTTTGCCTATTGTGCACATTTGAGAGCCACTGGATTCCCACCAAAGAAATGGGGGTATCTCTGTTTCAGACTGTGTCCATTTCTGGAACCCAGGCTTCATTGGTGAACCCTTGTCCATGTAATCGGTTTACTCAGTGAATGGAGAATAGGGGACGTCACCTACCTAATTTGATCTTCAAAACTACACAAAACAAAACTTTAGGTATGCGCCTACATTATAAAAAAAATAAAAATTTCTGATTCATATAATGGGCTTTATTAAGTTTTGAAAAAAAGGAAGTTATGCTGCCTCACCCTGTATACACACACATATATCTTACTTAGAACGACACTATTACACATCCCTGTACTCTGTAGAGTCCCTTTAAGTCCCCACCAAAGCCAGACTAATTTCTAGAAAGAAAAATGGAGAGAAAAAAAACCAAGGAGAGCGACTCCATCTTGGAAACGGGGAGCCAAAATGGCGGCCTTCCTTTGGGCTTCAGGGCCGCCTTTGCCCGCTCCCAAGATGGCCACCGTTCCGAGGGAGGGAGGGGGGAGGGGGCGCGCCGCTTTCCCATCAGCCCCGCCGTCGGGAGCGGGAGCTGCTGCCTCTGCCATCAGGACTGCGGGCAGGGATTGGAGGCGGAGGAGGGGAAGGGGAGAGGAGAGAAGGGGCTCCGGGGCGGAGGAGGGCGGGCCCTCTGGGCGGCAGCAGCAGGGGAAGAGAGAGGAGGGGAGGGGAGGGACCTCCATTGTGGCTGGAAGGGGCTGCAATACAGGGCGGGGGCCTTCCTTCCAGGGAAGGATTGCGGGCTTGTTGGGGGCTCTGAAGGCCTGGGCCTCCTCAGCGGTTAGCAGGCCGCAAGCCTGTCCTTTGGGAGGGGGAGTCTCCATTTGAGGCGGCCACCCTTTGGGGCGACCATTATTTGAGGGGCCTACAGTTGGAGGGATCCCAGTCTGTGATCTCTGCCACTTGAGGCATTCATTCCTCAATCAGGGAGATTACAATTTGGGGCGATCACGCTTGGATGCCTTCCTACTTTAGGGGAATCACCATGAGGTGCCCAAATTTGGGGCATTCACCATTTGAGGTGCCAAGAATTTGAGTGATTGCAATTCAGGGTGCTCTCAATTTAAGGTTACTTGTAGGGTGTGCGTGTATTATTATTATTATTGTATAGCATCAAAGCTATATTATTATTTTGTTTGTGTATTATTATTATTATTATTATTACAATTTAGGGTGCTCTCAATTTAGGGTTACTTGTAGGGTGTGCGTGTATTATTATTATTATTGTATAGCATCAGGGCTATATTATTATTTTGTTTGTGTAGTATTATTATTATTATTATTACAATTTAGGGTGCTCTCAATTTAGGGTTACTTGTAGGGTGTGTGTGTATTATTATTATTATTATTATTATTATTATTATTATTGTATAGCATCGAAGCTATATTAAACAGAGAGGCTGGATGGCCATCTGTCAAGGGTGATTTGAATGCAACATTCCTGCTTCTTGGCAGGGGGTTGGACTGGATGGCCCATGAGGTCTCTTCCAACTCTTTGATTCTATGATTCTAGGATTATTTTGTTTGTGTATTATTATTATTATTATTGCAATTTAGGGTGCTCTCAATTTAGGATTACTTGTAGGGTGTGCGTGTATTATTATTATTATTGTATAGCCTCGAAGCTATATTATTATTTTGTTTGTGTATTATTATTATTATTATTACTGCAATTTAGGGTGCTCTCAATTTAGGGTTACTTGTAGGGTGTGCGTGTATTATTATTATTGTATAGCATCAAAGCTATATTATTATTTTGTTTGTGTATTATTATTATTATTGCAATTTAGAGTGCTCTTAATTTAGGGTTAATTGTAGAGTGTGCGTGTATTATTATTATTGTATAGCATTGAGGATATATTATTATTTTGTTTGTGTATTATTATTATTATTATTGTATAGCATCGAAGCTATATTGTTCATTTGTAGGAAGGGTAGTTAATTTCATGCCTACACAACAGGTTTTGGGGATATTCCGAATTGTGGGGGAAACCAGATTTAATTGTGGTGCTCTAGATTTCTCCAGAAATAGGGACTGAGAGCTTGGCTGATTGGTGTGAGAAAATCCTTTCTGTGATAATTATAATTATTTTAGATTCAATCAGAGTTAGGAATTTCCTGTGGGGGTGATTATAGTATCCCAATATTCTGCCGATTTTGTACAGCAACTCCATTTGGGGAGGAAATCATTATTTGTAACTATCCGCCTTTTAAACTATAGCAGCATCCTACAGTTTTGTAAGGTACTGCTAACTCTAAAGGTACTGCAGAAACCTGGAGGTGCAATCATATCATAATGCTTGGGGGAGACCTTTTGTGGACTGTTTGTTTCCCAAAATGCCCTTAAAGAGCATTGATAAATGCTCTTAATTTTGTAGAAACTGCCTGACACCAGAGAACCTAAAGGTCACGTATGTGTTGTCTTGTGCACAGGGCCTTTATTTACTTGTATTGTTTATTAATCATCATTTTGGTAGAATCGCTTTGAGCAGATAATTAACTTCTAGTAAAGTGCGTTATTTTGGAAAGTGAGCTATAATTCCTGCAAACTGTATCGTCCTATATATGACACTCCATTTATGTTTAGGATTTCAGCGCGGAAGATTTAATTTGCATTCCTAAGATACTTCTTTAATGGAAAAAATGTATATATACAGCTGTTACTAATAGAGGGAGGAGGAATATTACATTTGGATGATTTGAGGTGGAACTACATGTTAAAGAACATTTTTTTCACTGTGAAGGGTTGCATATAATTCTTTGAAGGTCACCCTAAACTTGGGGGGGAAAAGAAGCAAAAGCTGCTAAATGAATCTACAAGAGAGATTTCCAGTTGGGTAACTTCCCAGTTAAGAAGGGTGTTTCCAGACTGTGTCACTTCCCTTGGGAATAAATACGAGTCTGTCTGGGATTGGTGGGTTTGCCCACCCTCTGATGCTCCCCCAAGCCATGTCCGCTTTTGGGGATGCCCACGAGTGGTACATGGGGGCGCTCAGCCGGCAAGAAGCAGCCGCCTGCCTTCAGGGCCACCGGCACGGGACTTTTCTGGTCCGAGACAGCACTACATGCCCTGGGGACTATGTGCTCTCCGTCAGCGAGAACTCCAAGGTAAGCTCCCGTCGCTGGATGGCCATCTGTTGGGAGTGGTTTTGATTGGGTGTTCTTGCATGGCAGTGGGGTTGGACTGGATGGCCCTTGCAGTCTCTTCCAGCTCTATCATTCTGTGACCCTGAAATAATAATCATAACATTTATTATTATTATTATTATTTAGGACTAGCTTATGTACCTAGCAGTGCCTGGGTTAGGTATTTTCAGGTGGCCTAAGGAATATATGGACCAAGTTCTGGTCCAGTTCCATTAATTGTGCGATTCCCACAGCTCTCTGAATGTGAATGAACTACAAGTTCCATCATCCTCAGTCGATGCTCACAGGTATTTTAAGCTGGTTATAATGGCCATGTGTGCTAGATTTGGTCCAGATCCATCGTGGGTAGGAGAGACACCTCTCTGAATGTAGGTGGACTACAACTCCTATCATTCTCTGTCAATCCTCCTCCCCAACTCCAAGAAACCCCAGCCAGTATTTTAAGTTGGTTATGATGTGTATATGTGCCAGGTTTGGTCCAGATCCATTGTTGGTTGGATTCACACAGCTCTCTGGATGTGGGTGGACTAAAACTCCCATCTCCCATATCACACACATGCACTCCTTCCAAACCCATCGGTTGTTTTAAGTGGGATCGTGATGAGTATGTGTTCCAAGTTTGGTCCAGATCCATCAAACCATGCAGAAGGAGCCTTTGTGGATCATTCACACACACACATAAACAAACATATTTTTACTTTTATATAGAGAGATAAGAGGATCTGTGTTGGAGTAATTGAAGAACTTGGGAGGCACTTTGATTATATAGCCCAACAAAAATAAATTCTTGGTGTGTTGGTTTTTGGGCCTGTTCCTGGGGTTATTTGGGGCACTGATTCAGAAAATTGCATTGGATAGACTGCATCAGCTCTAGTTATCATGATTTCCTATGGGTGAGCAGATGGCGACTGGTAGATGCCATATGTTCTCTATCTCAAAGACTGTAGCTAAGAGGGAGAAAACGGGTGCCATTTTTGGAATCAGCAGGTCAAACAGGGCTAACAAAATATGTGTTGGACAGTGTTATGCATAAGAGGTTGGATGTTGGAGGGCCATTTAGAGCACTGATGTGACAGTCATATTTTTCTTTTCCCTCTTGCATCTCACAGGTATCGCACTACATCATCAACAGCCTCCCCGGGCGCCTACGGATCGGGGAGCATGAGTTTGATGGCTTCCCTGCTCTGCTAGACTTTTACCGCCTTCACTACTTGGACACCACCACTCTAGTAGCCCCTGTGGGACGGGTGGTAGCGCCTGCCTCTGCCCAGCCACCTCCTGCAGGGGAATGGGTTCGAGCCTTGTACGACTTCGTCGGTCGCGATCAAGAGGACCTCCCCTTCACCAAAGGGGAACCATTGAGGGTCTTGGCCAAGCCTGAAGAGCAGTGGTGGACGGCGCAGCGTGCGGATGGGCGTGTTGGCATGATCCCCGTGCCCTATGTCCAGCCGTGTCCCTATGCTCACCCCAGCAGCCATGGGGCCCCCCGCCATGCTCCCGTAATAGCAAGAGCAGTTCAGCGACGGGTGCCCGGTGCCAGTGACAAGACAGCACTGGCCTTTGAGGTACGTTATGGGGTGGTCATTATTATAGGTGCATTTTGAGAATGCGTATCTGGCTTTTATGTGAACAAAGCGTGCCCAATAGTGTCTGCAGATTCACAGCAGGCAATGCGATTTTCTTCGTTGGAAGTACAAAGTTTAGAACTAGCATTCCTTCCTCCCTTAAACCAAAAATCCTGCAAATCAGATTTCCCCCAAAATCTGGGGGAAAATCTGATTTGCAGGATTTTTGGTTTAAGGGAGGAAGGAATGCTTATTATTATTATTATTATTATTATTATTATTATTATTATTTCCCAGTCAATCCCAATAATAAATTGCAATCCCAGGTGACAGCAGAATTGACAAAAAGCAACTGGAAAAGCTTACACAATATGAGGATTTAAAGATCGAACTGCAAAGACTGGCACAAGCCAGTCAAGGTGGTACCAGTGGTGATCGGCACACTGGGTGCAGTGCCTAAAGATCTTGGTCTGCACTTCAAAACAATCAACACTGACAAAATTACCATTTGTCAGCTGCAAAAGGCCACCCTGCTTGGATCTGCTCGCACTATTCGTCGCTACATCACACAGTCTTAGACACTTGGGAAGTGTCCAACATGTGATCAAATACAAAATCCAGCATAGTGATCTTGTTTGCTGTGTACTAATCTTGTTTTGTATCAAATACTAATAATAAATATTACTATTATAATTTCTGACCTGCCTCTCCTCATGGCTCAAGACAGGGAACAGCATGGCTAGAAACACTTCATCGTAAAACATTATCTAAAATACACATATCAAAATGCAATTATATGAAATGCATATATTAAAATAACAGTGCAAAGATTGAAATACAATGTGCAAACACATTGAAGGATAAGTAGTAGTCAGTTCTCTCTGGAGCAGCAACTCTAGCTCTTCAGGTGGTTTTTGCTGCAAATGTCCCTCTCCATTGGTTATGCCAGCTGGGACTAATGGAAATTTGTAATTTATAGGTCCCCCAGCTTTTGTTGGACTGCAGCTCCCATCAGCCAAAGTAAATACAGTTATGAAGGATGTGAGCTGCAGATAGCAACACCTAGTGGACAACAGATTCTTTGACTTAGCAGAGGTTTAAACAGTTGGGGAGCAGCATGAGTGATGGAAAGGAAGGAAAGAAAATACTGGAATATGGTAGGCTTAGAAGCTGTGTGGGGTATTGATCATCACTTATGCTCTTACTGAACTCCACTCGCATATCAAGGTATTCGTTGTCACCCTGAGAACAAAGATATTTTAAAAAACAGTGAAGATGAGTGGTATTATTATTTATTATTATTTATTTTTATCCTGCCTTTCTCCCAGTATAGCAACTCAAGGCAGCTGATAGTAGGCATGGCATTTTTTTTTCTGTGCCAGGAGCGACTTGAGAAACAGCAAGTCGCTTCTGGTGTGAGAAAATTGGCCATCTGCAAAAATGTTGCCCAGGGAACACCCGGATGTTTTACCATCTTGTGGGAGGCTTTTCTCATGTCCCTGCATGAGAAGCTGGAGCTGACAGATGGGAGCTTACCCCGCTCCCCGGATTCAAACCTCCGACCTTTGGGTCAGCAGTCCTGCCAGCACAAAGGTTTAACCCATTGCGCTGCTGGAAGCATGGCATGATGCAATTTAAGCAGAGCAAGTGTATAAACATTTGGATATAAAAATTATCAAACAGTTTAATCAAAAATATGATTAATACTACACTCGTGCCATCCCCAGCAGCCTACCTCTTATCATTCCATTGCATTCTGCCAGATCTGCCATGTGGGTTACTTGACATAAATATTAAGTTAAAGGGAAAGACAGTTCACAGAACTGAGGGAGGACAAATGGCCTCATTTTCTCTGGTTTCTGAAATCTGTTTTCATTTCACTATGCTCCATAGGTGGGTGACCTCATTGCTGTCACCAAGATGAACGTCAACGGCCAATGGGAGGGCGAGCTGAACGGACGCCGCGGCCACTTCCCTTTCACCCACGTCAAGGTCCTGGACCCCGAGGAAGCCAGTTGAGTGTGTGATGTATCCATTGAACTTTGCCTTTCCCTATAAGGGGTCACGATCCCTGAACTCTGACTTGTGATCGTCTGGCCCCCTTGAACATTGTACCTCCTGACATGAGCCTTGAAACTTTAAGCTCCCCCCCCGATGGGTGTTATTGATCACCCAGTTCATTGATAGTTTGGCTCCTTGGACATGGACCTCTTCTTCCACCTTGAACCCCATTGACTTAGAGCTTTGCTCCTTCACTGGCTGTTCTTAAACATCCTGGTACTCAACTTGCTCCATCTTTGCTCCCTAAGAACACAGTGATTCTTTTGGCCTTGTGGTTTCTGATTCTGATGACGTGCTACTCCGCCTCCCGTGCCCTGTGACCCCAGGGGCTCTTGACCTTTCATGGCTGACCCCTTTAGCTGTGTGTATTTTTCATCGGACCCTGCTGTCATTGACTTGGACCTAAGTGACCAGAGTCTTGCCGCCCCCATAGGAACTCCATCCCGCTTGTTGTCTGTTCCAAACCGCCTTGTTAATTAAAGTTTCCTGCAGAGTATTCCTCATTGATAAGTTCCTCCTTCTGGGGAGGGCCCCAAGAGCGTGGATGAGGTGGGGGGAAAAGTGGCAGTGTTGCTAGGGCAACCAGCATCACAACCTAGGCCTTGCAGGTTGCCATGGTGATCTGGATCATAGCCTATTCCTGTAGGAAGGAGGAGAATGCAGCAAATGCCACACTTGTTGGCTGCGGAGCCTTGGTTTCCATCTGTTGCCGTCTTGCCAAGCCTACCATTTTGGTTTAGGATGAGGACGGACTCCCCATGCATACCAACAGCTCCTGCTTTGATAGGTACAGCGTCTTTTTCCCTTCTAATCTGATATATATACACATTTATGAGAGCCTGTAATACAGTTTATATCTCTTTGATTAAAGAATTGTGGCTCTTCTGTTCTGGGATCTTCACTGACAGCTTCACGGTACAGTCAGGGTTCCCAGTAGCATAGTATTTAAAGGCTAGATTTGTATAACACTTTAAAAAAAAAAGCACAAATACACATATAGGTAAAGATAAAGCTTTCCCCTGACATTAAGTCTAGTTGTGTCCAACTCTGGTGAGTGGTGCTCATCTCCATCTCTAGGCTGAAGAGCCAGTGTTGTCCGTAGACGCCTCCAAGGTCATGTGGCCAGCATGACTGTATGGAGTGCCATTACCTTCCCTTAGAAGTGGTACCTATTAATCTTCTCACATTTGCATGTTTTGGAACTGCTAGGTTGGCAGAAGCCGGGGCTAACAGCAGGAGCTCACCTCATTCCCCAGATTCAAACCACCAACCTTTCAGTCAGCAAGTTCAGCAGCTCAGCGGTTTAATCCACTGCACCATCAGGGGGCCCTGATATACATATTATATGTGTGTGTGTGTGTGATATACATATACACACAGAAATAAAGGTCTCTGACAAATGTATTTTAAGACAAGGGCCTCATTTGTACTGAGCATTTAGTGCATATCAAACTACATTATATGCTCAGTGTAGATTCCTATAATGCAGCTTAACTGCACTGAACTGGATTATATGAATCTACCATTACCATATAATTCAGTTCAGTCTGCATTATAATGACAGTGTAGGTGGGACCTCTACAATGCAGTCACACTGCATGATATGAGTCTACGCTGAGCATATAATGCAGTTCCATCTGCGTTAAATGGTCAGTGTAGATGGGCCCAGAGCTGCAGCACCTGCGACCTCCTATCTGTTGTTGCTCTCCATTTCCCATCAGGTTTAGCCAGCCTCCAAGAGAGTTAAGGCAATGTTTCTCAACCTGTGTGTTTTGGCCTTCAACTCCCAGAAATCCTAACAGCTGGTAAACTGGCTGGGATTTCTGGGACTCATAGGCCAAAACAGGTTGAGAACCACTGTAGTAAGGCATCATGGAAGCAGTAGAAGTTCACCAATATCCAGTCGGTCAATTATTTCAGAAGATGGTGTCATTTGGGAACAAGTTAAAACCAAATCGGTTAAAAACCAGACAATTTAGAACTATACGCATGTGCAGGTTTATATAAATTTTAATAGCCCCCAAAGGCTTTTGCAAAATACAGATTGACACTAGTGTTGGGGCCAACAAGGACCTCTCGGGGGAGGATATTCTATAACTGAAGTGCCAAAGCAAATGAAGCCTTTTATTGCATGATCCAAAGGCCTATTTCCCTAAATGGGGAGTCACAGAGATGGGCTGCTTCATCAGATCTCAAGCATGAGAGATGCCCATTGTGCTATTGGTGTCCCAAGTCCATTAGGGCTTTGAATGTCTCACCACCTTGAATTCATACTGGAACATACTGGCAACCAATAAGACCATGTTGGATGTGTTTCTCTGATCAGTGATTCTGGCTGCTGCATTCTCCAAGGCATCTTTAAGGGCAGCCCCACATACAGCAGATTGTAGTAGACCAAACAGGAAATTACTATCGTATCAACTACTGTTTCTAGGGATCCTTCCAGACAGGCCCTACATCCCAGGATCTCATCCCCGGTTTTCAGCTTTGAACTGGATTATATGAGTCCACACTGCCAGATAATAATCTGGGATAAACAGAAAACCTGGGATCAGATCCTGGGATATAGGGACTGTCTGGAAGGGCCCTAGGTTATCATTATCCAGGTAACCATATTTGTTTATTCATTCAAAAACCCTCTGTGTCTTGCGTCTAGATGTCTGAACAGAAAAATATGTCTTCTGTCTAAGCAGAGAATGATCACATAAATTTAAGACTTGGAAGAGAGCCTGTCGGTCATTTAATTCTAATTTCCTGCTTAATATATGAGGATGCTGCGATGGCATTCCTGGAAGCCTTCCATTAGCCATTTGAAAGACAGCAAACCTACTTCCCAAAGCTCACAGTTGGGAAGATTCTCCCAATTTTCGACCCAAATCTACCTTTCTCTCATTTATAGGGTTGCTGCAAGTCCAAGTCGACTTGATGGCAGTGACAAAAACCTTTAGAAAATAAATTCCACCTATGAATTCCAGCACAGTCTGTTGGAACAACAAAGAACATGTCTAGGTCATCTACATGACAGACCTTCAGATATTTGAAGGCATCTAAAAGCTAGTCATTCCCAGTTCTTTTGGCTAAACATGCCCAGTACACATGATTTGGTTGCAGTTGCCTAGATTTTGCAGCTGTTTCTCCTATCCATCTGTTACAAGGAAGTCGCTTTTTCAGGTCCACACTTGTTTTGTGCTTGAGGCATTACACATTTCATGTAAAAGGAGAACATCTACCTCCCAAAGGATGTGTTTCAGTCCATCTTAAGAGTGATGACATATCTACTGGAAAACACCCAATTGCTTTTGTTGCAGTCATTTCCTAAGACATGTATTGCCTGGGCTTTGGTTCCAGGACCTCCTGTGGATACCAGCATTTTTGGATCCTCAAATCCCATTGTATACAATGCTGTAGTAAAATGGCGTCCCTTATATAAAATAACACGATCAGGGGTTGCTTTGGGATTTCTTTTTTAAAGCATTCTTTGTGGACAGTTGAATCCATGGGTGCAGAATACATGAATATGGAGGGCCGACTATAACAACAACATATAAAATAATAAATAGGGGAAACACCATATGTCTGAACCATTTCTCGGTAAGGGTAAAGGCTTCCTCTTGACATTAGGTCTAGTTGTGTCCAACTCGGGTTGGTGCTCATCTCCATTTCTAAGCCGAAGAGCCGGCATTATCTGTAGACACCTCCAAGGTCATGTGGCCAGCATGACTGCATGGAGCGCCGTTATCTTCCCGCCAAAGTGGTACCTCTTGATTTACTCACATTTGCATGTTTTTGAACTAATAGGTTGGCAGATGCTGGACATAACAGCAGGAGCTCACCCTGCTCCCTAGATTCGAACTGCCGACTTTTCGGTCAGCAAGTTCAGCAGCTCAGTGGTTTAACCCACTGCACACTGGGAGCTCCTTAGCATTTTAGGTAAGGGGACATCATATTTATTAATTTCAAAATGGCAGGATAATTTTTAAACCTATTATATAAAGAAAAATCCACCCCAAAGACACTTATTTACAACCTTGAGCAGAGAATATAAAAAGGCCTCTTTCTGATAAGTCCAAAAACGTAATGAGCCGTAATGGGGGTTTATTTAGGACGAACTCATGTAGATTCCTGGATCTGAAAAATGGGCTGGAGTTTGTGATAAAACTTTTAGAGCTACTGTAGAATTAGACTAGGATTTCTGTTCTCAAAGGCTTTCATGGCTGGAATCACTGAGTTGTTGTGAGTTTTCCGGGCCATGTTCCAGAAGCATTCTCTCCTGGCGTTTTGCCCACATCTATAGCAAGTATCCTCAGAGGGGGAAAGGAAGGGGCCTGAGGCTGTTAGGAATTATGGAAATCCAAAACACCGGGAGGGCCCAAGTTTGCCCATGTCTGAGCTAGACTGTAGTACTATTGAGCTTTCTCTGCTCAATATTGCTGGGGCCTCATTAAATTACAACTCCCAGGATCTCATAGTAATGAACCATGACAGTTTAATTCTTGTCATGGCTCAATGTCAAGCTGCATTGATTGTCAAGCTGCATTCATTCTACAGTGTAGATGTATGAGGGTTGAATGAAAAGTAATGCCTCCATCTTCGTAACTCCTCAACAGATGGCAGTACTGGTATGCGGCAGGTACTGGCATGTTCAGACTCTCCTCTACAGCTCCATTTTGGCGGGAAGCCTTAGCATTGAACTGTTGGGTTGTTAAAGTGCAAAGTATGGAACCCTGCGCAGACGGTCGGTCAATGTGACTTAAGTAATGTGCAGTCATCGAATTCTTGACAGCAGAAGGTGTCACCCCAAAGGAAATTCATCAGAGAATCCAAGCTGTTTATGGTGATTGTGCTGATGTGAATACTGTGCGTCGTTGGGCGAGGAAGTTTAAAGATGTTGAGGTGGGAACATCTGACTTGCGTGACAAACAAACAGTTGGACGTCCTGTGACAGCAACCACTGAGTTTCACAAGCAAAAGGTTGACAGATTGATTCAGGATGATCGTCATATCAATCAGAAATTTCAAGCATAATTAGCATTTCACAAGAACATATGGGTCACATTATTGCTTTGCTTGGCTAACGGAAGATCTGTGCATGATGGGTACACAGCAGAACTTCAGAGACTGGATCTCACCACTGTACGGCATCCTCCATACAGTCCCGATTTAGCACCGTCTGACTTCCATCTGTTCCTGATAATGAAAGAAGATCTGCAGGGACATCATTATACTTCTGATGAAGATGTTGAGAGAACTGTGAGATGCTAGTTGCGGAAAAAGAGTGTTGACTTCTTCCGTGACGGCTTCAGAAAACTTGTTCATCGTTGACAGAAATGTATCCAATTGTCTGGTGATTATGTAGAAAAGAGAATAGTGGTAATATATAAATAAAATATACTTTATTTATTTATACCATCTCCCCAAGGGACTCGGTGCGGCTTACATGAGGCCAAGCCCACAATACATCAATAACAAGAGCAATCTTGGTGACTATGGACAGGA